ACGGTCATAAGCCTTCTCCAAATCCACAAAGCACATGTGGATTGGTTGGGCAAACTCCCATGCCCCCTCCATCACCCTTGCAAGGGTATAGAGCTGGTCCACAGTTCCACGGCCAGGACGAAAACCACATTGCTCCTCCTCTATCTGAGATTCAACTATCGATCGGACCCTCCTCTCCAGTACCTTGGAGTAGACCTTTCCAGGGAGGCTGAGGAGTGTGATCCCCCTATAGTTGGAACACACCCTCAGGTCACCCTTCTTAAAGATGGGGACCACCACCCCGGTCTGCCACTCCCTAGGAACTGCCCCCGATGACCACGCAATGTTGTAGAGACGTGTCAACCATGACAGCCCTACAACATCCATAGCCTTAAGATACCCAGGACGAACCTCATCCGCCCCCGGGGCTCCGCCGCTGTGTAGTTGTTTGACTACCTCAGCAACTTCTGCCCCCGAGATTGGACAGTCCATCCCCAGGCCTCCCAGCTCTGGTTCCTCCTCGGAATGCGCATTGGTGGGATTGAGGAGCTCCTCAAAGTATTCCTTCCACCGTCCGACTATAGCCTCAGTTGACGTCAGCAGCTCCCCATCCCCACTGTAAACAGTGTGAGCGAGTTGCTGCCTTCCTCTCCTGAGGCGCCGGACAGTTTGCCAGAACCTCTTTGGAGCCGATCGATAGTCTTTCTCCATGGCCTCACCAAACTCCTCCCACGCCCGAGATTTTGCCTCGGCAACTGCCACTGCTGCACCCCGCTTGGCTATCCGGTACCTGTCTGCTGCCTCCGGAGACCCACAGACCAGCCACGCCCTGTAGGCCTCCTTCTTCAGCCTGACGGCTCCCCGAACCTCTGGTGTCCACCAGCGGGTACGGGGGTTGCCACCACGACTGGCACCGGCCACCTTACGACCACAGCTAGCAACAGCCGCCTCGACAATCGCAGAGTGGAACAAGGCCCACTCGGACTCAATGTCCCCCACTGCTCTCGGGACGAGGTCAAAGCTCTGCCGGAGGTGGGAGTTGAAGACCGTCTTGACAGGTTCTTCTGCCAGGCGTTCCCAGCAGACCCTCACTATGCGTTTGGGTCTGCCAGGTCTACGCGGCATGTTCCCTTGCCATCTGATCCAACTCACCACCAGGTGGTGATCAGTTGACAGCTCCGCCCCTCTCTTCACTCGGGTGTCCAAAACATACGGCCGCAGGTCAGATGATATGACTACAAAATCTATCATCGACCTGTGACCTAGGCTGCCCTGGTACCAAGTGTACCGGTGGGCATCCTTATGTTCGAACATGGTGTTCGTTATGGCCAAACTGCGGCTTGCACAGAAGTCCAATAACAAAACACCGCTCGAGTTCAGATTAGGTGGGCCGTTCCTCCCAATCACACCCCTCCAGGTCAAGCTGTCATTGCCCACGTGAGCATTGAAGTCCCCCAGCAGGACAATGGAGTCCCCTGATGGAGCACTATCTAGCACTCGTCCCAGGGACTCCAAAAAGGGTGGGTACTCTGAACTGATATTTGGCCCATAAGCACAAACAACAGTCAGGACCCGTTCCCCGACCCGAAGGCGCAAGGAAGCTACCCTCTTGTCCCCCGGGGTAAACCCCATCACACAGGCAGAGAGTCTCGGGGCTAACAAAAAGCCAACCCCAGCCCTCCGCCTCTCACCCGGAGCAACTCCAGCAAAGTAGAGTGTCCAACCCCTCTCCAGGTCTCGGGTTCCAGAGCCAATGCTATGTGTCGAGGTGAGTCCGACTATATCTAGCCGGTACCGCTCAACCTCTGCCACAAGCTCCGGCTCCTTCCCCGCCAGCGAGGTGACGTTCCATGTCCCAAAAACTAGTTTTCTTGTCCGGGGATTGGACCGCCAAGGCTCCCGCCTTGGTCTGCCACCCGATTCGCATTGCACCGGACCCTTCATGTTCCTCCTGCGGGTGGTGGGTCCACAGTTGGACGAGCCCATGTATCCGGTTCGGGCTGGGCCCGGCCGGGCCCCATGGGCGAAAGCCCGGCCACCAGGCGCTCGCTCACGGGCCCCAACCCCAGGCCTGGCTCCAGGGTGGGACCCCGGTAACCCTCCGGGCCGGGTACTCCGACTCTTCGTTTTAACCGCCATGAAAGATCCTTCGAACCATTCTTTGTCTCACCCTTCACCTAAGACCAATTTGTCATGGGAGACCCTACCAGGGGCACAAAGTGCCCCAGACAACATAGCTCCTAGGATCATTAGGGCACTCAAACTCCTCCACCACGATAAGGTGACGGTTCACCTGGCGAGTAAATGTTTGCACCAAATTAGTTATGTTTATCAGTCATCTTCCATGGATGTCTGATACTCCTCCCGCCTGCATGCAACGTACACAAACGTACGCGAAACGTGCCGCATCAACGTCATTTCCACCTATCCCATTCATTCAGTTTAAGTTAGCAGCTAGCTTCGTGTTAAAACTAGCAGTGAAATGTGGCGGTTTTTAACTGGAGTCAGCCAGCCTTCCAAAAGAAAACTCGTCGAACTGGAAGAAAAACCACCAGGGCCAGTGGCAACCATAAGATTTTGTGAAAAGTGGCGAACTGGAGATGGCGGAGTCGTGAGATAAGGGCTACATTATGATGGCCACGTAGCGTTGCTGCCTTTCACAGACAACTGTCCCTCGGCATTCTTCAAATATCCAAAAAATGCCCATACTTCCGACTTTGTCTTCTTTGAGGGATAATAAATGTCCCGAGTGCTGCCGTCTACTCCTGCCATTACTTCAGCTTTAGCTTAAAGAAAGTTTTGGTCGTAAACAACAAAGTGCGCATGTGCCGCCGGCAACTTCAGATGATACGGTGGCTGGTAAGGGTCATCGCGCCTACACCGCAGTCATGGTAATCCACCGAGATAATAAATATTTTTTAAAAACAAGACTGTTATTATTATTGTAAACTTTTTTACCGGGGTTTACTGCTACACCGGTTACCGTGACAACCCTAGCCCTGACACATTTTCAGCTATTCTCATGGTGCAGCTGTGTTCTCCAGAGATCAAGGACTATGACCCAAATGAGGCTGTAATGCTTTGGCACAAAGACGGTGTCAGAAGCAGGAGGCCAGACTTCATGGACAGAGAAAACAAGGAGTCTGACTAGATTTCAATGAAAGAGTTCATAAAAACATCTCTAAAAATAAATAAATAAATAGTAAAAATTACAAAAGAGTTGTTTTTCTTATTAATTGATGTTTTAATTATTTTGTCACTCTGTTTGGAATCAACATAATATAGAATAACATGCTTTAGGTAGATCTAAATCATTTATAATTTTGGCCGGTAAAAAATATGCTTGGCCGGTAGATTTTCATCATCTACCAGCCAACTTGGCTGGTGAGTAAAAAATTTAATTTCGGACCCTGCCTGTAATATTAAACAATTCACATTTATAAACAAAAATAAAATTCAAGAGTTTAATGCAGAACTGATTTTATTTAGATATTTCTTTTATATGTACATGTTTAATCTTTCTTAACCATTTTTTTCTAGCAAAGTAAAAAGCTGTCAAAATTCTCCCTTCTCTCCTGTGCCCTCTGCTGCTCTGCCTCCCTCTGCAGCCTCAAGTCCTCCCTGATCAGCTCCAGAAGCTGGTCATCGCTGTCACCTTCCCCTGGATGCCCATTTTCTCCAGAATAGTCTTAACAAACATGTAAGAAAAAAAAACAGGAAGAGAAAAGGCAGAGAAAAGAGGACAACGGGTTATTCCTTTCGTGTTTTCGCAGAAAAAACTAAACTCAAAAACGAGTTTTTAAAATATGAGATGTTATTGTACCTCCATGCCACAGCCGCCGAATACTTTGCTCCAGTGATCATGTGGTCCATCTTCGCCCTAAGCTTAATAAAGTCCGTGGTTTTCTCTTTTGTCCCTAAAATACAAACTTCTATTAAAATCAGGGGGAAAACGTAGCGGGAGAACTACAACACCGAGCCGAGACCGCAATACAAGCACTTTTAGTGTAACATTTCAAACTAAAATAACGTTCATGTATCACAAAAGTCCTTAACCTAACAGTTTTCAAGTTTATACTGACATTTATATGCACAATCCTCTCCGACAGCTCCCGCTTCACTGTCCGCCATTGTTTTTAAAAGTTCTGCCATCCGGCCCGCAAGACATCTTGGGAAATGTAAACCATTGAAGGATACACCGGGCCCATCCTTCATTCAGGCGAAAAGAAGGCCGGATTCGTCGACCGCATTTGAAGGAGTCTTCAAATTGGGACAGGCCTGGTCGCGGCGCTGTGACGTAACCGGTCGACGAATCCGGCCGACGAAGGATGCAGACCCTGAATTGAGACACAGCCGCAGGCTCACAACAACATTGTGACATCATAATGTACCAGCCAATGTCATAGTGTACCTCTTAGCCAATAGCGATGGCATATTTAAATTCAAATGCAGTGCAGAATATTTACCTGAAGATGGCGCAACTCTGTCAGTTTTAGGCAGAATATTTGAATTTTATTCATTTACTCATTTATATAGTTTACTCATTTATATAGTTTATCATCAAAAAAAAGGTTGCTTTAGGGGTGACTTGCTCTTTAAAGCATGGACCAGTGTTGTCTCCACTAATAACAGCTATCCAATGGGCAAAGACTCTACCGTGTATATTTATTTACTAGAAAGCCATTACATAGAACATTTACTCACTCTGTTAATGGAAATGACAAACGACCACAGCTTAGTGGGGATTAAAAGCCTTATAGACTAACATTTTAAATATAGTTTAAAAATTCTTTGTCATTTTTTCTCTTCTCTTAAAGCTTTCATATTTTCTATGAACACATTTATACCCTGTTCCAGGTTTTCACTCATTAGCTAACTGCTGCAAAAATACAAGTCTGATTTAGTCAAAAAAAAAGGGTAAAATCCTATGTTTTTGCTAAATATGACAGGTAAGAACGTATCACACTCTTAATGTGGTCCAAATTTCTTTCTGATCTTTATAGTTGTTGCATCTGTTTCAGGATGGATTTGTCCGGGTTGATCATGACTATGTTCTGAAATCTGCTGAGCTGGCCAAGGCTGGAGGCTGCACTCACTTCCATCTGGAGTCTTCTAGAGGAGCTGATAAAAACAGCAACTTCCTCTACCTTAAAGTCAAGGTATTTGATTCTGTCCTGCTTGAGACAGCTCCAAGTTTGGGAAAAAATACTTAATTTGATGGATTTTGTTCTAGGGACAAGTGGAGGCAGAGATTGAATCACTAGGCTTTGAAAGATTTGCCATTTACAGACCGGGGTGAGCGATCAGATTTTCTTAATCCTTCGAACTTAAACTTAAGGGAACAGAAGACAACCTGCTGTTGGATTATCCTATTAACCTGACCAGTACACATTATCTTAATCTTAAAGAGGAGCAAGAACAAGGAAAATCTCTTCAAATAACTTGTAACTATAAAATAATAATCGTTCTCCTGACCAACAGAGTTTTGTTGGTGGACAGACGGGAGAGTCGACCCGGCGAGTGGTTAGCCAGGAAGTTCTTCGGCGCCGTCTCAGCCGTGTGCTCTACTTCCATGTCCATCCCAATCCAAATGGTGGCTAAAGCAATGGCGTCCAACGCTCTGCTGCAGCCTGAGCAGAAGACTGAGATCCTGGAGAACAAAGACATTATCAGTTTGGGAAAAGTAAAGGGAAATAAATGAGCATGAAATTACTGGAGGTGAGAAAAGAATGTGACTCTACTCTTTAAAGTGGCAGCTGAATCCACGGCTGTACTGAACACAAAACTTCAACTTTTCCCGTTTTCTTGTCAGGTTATTTTTGCAGAGATGACCACACCCATCCATCCTCATCCCTAAGAAATGTTTCCACATTACTTGAAAGCTAATATTCATGTTCTCATGGATAAATCCAAAACATCTTATATAAATATAATGAGTTCCTCATCTTTAAGGAGCATTTTTGTGTCATTTTCATCAGGGATGCATGTCATTCGTTTGACTTTTTGGGTGTTTGACACACTAAGCCTGAAAGTGCATACGATAAATTATTTTATATAATATATTGTGCACAGAATTTATATAATTGTTCATTGAATTGTATTGAATATGTTTGTTTAAATTAGGAAATCAATGCATCTTCATGTTCATGAACACATGGCTGCTCTGCCTGATCACAAGTAAAATATTTATTAGTTTTAGTCTCACCTAGCAGATACAAATGGTTATTAATTAATTTATCTACATGTGTGATTATTCATTTGTCAAGCTGATGTAAAAAATTATTTTAGTCAATATGGAAATAAAATTTAGCTTCCATGCCTCTCAAAGAAACAGTGTGTTTCACACTATAACAGCAATGACAGAGATGAATGTGATTGTTTTTCCCACTCTTTTATAAAAACAACCTCTTGAAATCATTCTGTATTAGATGTTCTTGTTAAGAGTGTGATGTAGACTAAATATTAATAAAATCCTGTAAACCCCAGTTGTTTTGACTCAGACATATTTTCAATTCTTTGCATCATTTGTATTTTTTGTTTCTCATGTTTGTGTTTTGATGGGTTCAACTAATAATTGTCCGTGCAAAGTTTTTCTGTTTTTAGATTAAAAAACAACTTTTCTCTAGTTATATAGCACCACCCCCTTGTGGTTGAATATGGTGATGCAGTATGTACTTATTCTACTGGAATTTAAATCAGCCAGGCATCCTGTAAGTGAATACATGCAGAGAAAAATCATTTAGTTTCTTCTACTGTCCATCTGGGTTTCTAGGCTAGAGTTAAATAATTTGATGCTAAATCCCAGATGCACAAAAACAATCGGATCCTACAGAATATTTTCTTGAAAATAAATTTATTGCAGCTGGTACATAAACATTTTACAATTAAAATTAATAAATATAACATTTCAGAAAATGCTTCTACTTTAATAATACGAACATGTAATGCAAGTATAAAAACCCCAACGGTTTGTGATTTTACCACAGGGAATAACTGTTGGGAGCTAACAAAATGACCTTTTTTGTTGCGCAGCTGAGGCTTATTTTGTGTTAAGTGTTTCTTTATAGCTTTAGTTTCTGATTTGTCTTTTGTCACAGTATTGCATATTTTTTCCATCATTCCATTTAGAAGCTTTAACATTTACAGTATTTTGGGTCCTTTTTATTAAGCCTTTGTAGTCATTCTCTATGCCAGTAGCTCAGTTTAACAAAGAATTATACGATATCTGTTTTTGATTTATTATTATTATTATTATTATTATTATTATTATTATTATTGTTATTATTATTATTATTATTATTATTATTATTTACATTTTACGCTGTCCCTTCTTATTCAGGTCAATATTCCACACAGCATTTAAACTGTCTATTCTGAATCTATAATCGTACTCTAGAATTTATTGAAACTCTCATGTTAAAAGAATACAACAATGTAAAGTATTAAATGCAATTTATTTTGTAGTTTTATTGATTTAATTTGTATGCTGGTCAGTGTTATAAAATAAATAAAGCTTTGATTGATTGATTGATTGATTGATTGTTCTCTGGCGACATCTAGTGGTTTTACTTAGAAAATCCATCACAGTCCACCACGTCGATAATACGTCACTGAACGTGAACAGGAAGTCTTGTGAAACCAAAGCGAAAACATGGCAGAACACAGAGCTCCACGTGAGTGTTACAAACAGCGAAACATAGTGTCTAAAATGTAGCTTTTAGGCACAAGGACACGTATTTATTCTGTAGTTTTGTGTTTTTATGTGTTAATGCGTTAGCAGCATCCCGTTCGCTGCTTTAGTGGCTAGCGCTGATGATGCTATTGCAGCTGCTAAAGAAGCTTTGTGCCTTTGCTTTAACAGCTGGTGACGTAGTTGCAGAGGACATGCCTGAGCTTTCTGACGGAGATGAGGATGATGAAGATGATGTGGATAAAGAGCAGTGGATGGAGGAGGAGAGTCAGCCTGCTTCCTGTCTGTTCTGTGACAAGTAAGATCTGTTATTTTACCTCTTAGGCCCTGATCCACACGAAAATGGAGTTTTTTTTCACACGAAAACGGATCTTTTTAAAAACTCCGGCCAAAGTGAAGATCTGCGTTTTCTCCGTTTTGGGTGTCTGCGTGTGGACCAGGCCCCCACAATGCAGCTCTGAAATTGAGTCAAACCATCGACATAAATATACTGGACATCCAGTGGTGGCTGGTGAAAAATATTTTTGGTGGGGCTGTGCTGTTTTTTATTTTTAAACAAACTTGTGCTTTCTGAGCTTTGTGCACAACTTCACTATTTCCTGAATTAAGCACGGCTCTTTTATTTCCTGTCTTACATCATTGGACAAACTGATTAATCCAGGTGTGTCTGACTATTGGCACACTGCCTTGCAGACCAAGGTTGAAAAATCCTGCATTAAATTGCACATAAAATAACATGACCATAAATGGTAAATAGGCAATGCAAGAGGCAAGTAACAAAAACATTTTGTTTAATTTCAACATTTGAGTGAACACGAAAAATTATGAGCAGGTCACTGTTACAGTAATGGTAGTAAACACCACTTAGACAAAATGCCAGAAATTTACACTGTTAGGACTTATGGAAAGTGGAAACACTTTCATAGGAAATAATGTCATCAGTATCCTCTTACAAATGTCATATTTCCCACTTTTTGGGACAATAAAACATTTCTGGTTCTCAATGAGATGTTTTTACTTCAAATGTAAAAACATCTCATTGAGAATCAGAAATGTTTTATTGTCCCAAAAGCTGGGAAATTTGTTTGCTGCAGCAGAAGTGTAACAAGTAAAATGGAATCAGATTGATGTATGTACAAATTTACTTGAAATACACATTTACATGATTAAATATTTGCTTCACTGTTCTGGTGCTGAGAATATCACTTATGCAGATCAAAGGAGATACACAGATGAATGCACCTCATTTATTATTTGGAGACTACATTTACTGCAGCTGGCAGAGGCAGACATTTTTTCTATTGATACACGGAATTTACAGAATCATTTTAAATTTTAATAGGGGAAGACTGCAGGAGGGAGTGGTAAAATACAGGGGGTCCCCAGCAAAAACAAGAAACTTTACGAGTCTGATGAAACCCGCTGGTTTTCCATCAGGCAGTCACGGGGCAGCTCCAACGACCCAGTGGCTGTGCTGGGTCAATGTTATCGAGCTCAGTCCGGCTCGGTAGAGGGTGAATGAGCCGAGGCGACGTCGTGCTCTGCTTAAGAAGAAGTGTTATTTTCCCACTTCAGAAGAAGCGTCCAACGTGTTGTAGCGTAATGGTTCTTGGCTCTTTTATGAAAGATGAACCATTCTACATAATAATCTGGAATATTAATTTTAACAAATTAATAACCAAATGTTATAGAGATAAGAAGACCTAAAGGTTGTTTTCATCGATAAACTGACGATCATATCCGTTTGTCTGTGTTTCACTTCAATGAAAAGGCAAGTTTAAATTTTAAGAGATTTATTTCTTCAATTTAAACTAACGATTTGAAATGACAATCATAGGAAAAACAATCAACATTGGCAACCTTTTTGGACAATCTTTAACAGTTGATATTTTAAGCTTGCTCAAATAGACCTTGTGTTGGATGTGCTAAGATTGAGGATGATGGAATTATGAATGCAAGCATGCATGTGTGTGAGATTGCTTCAGGGAGAGGGAAGGTGAACTGAGTGAAAAATGATGTTTTGCAATTAAACTTTATAGGGCTGGGGGTAAACGATTATTTTTAAAACGATTATTCTGACGATTATTTTATCGAATAGTCGACTATTCTAATGACTATTTATACAATTAATCTAATGATTATTTTTCTATTGCACAGTTAATAAAAAATCAAAAAATCTCTAATAAATTCCTCCAAAAAATTGATTGTTACTGTAAGAGAATAAACACTACAGGCCTCCCATTTTGTACAACACTGCTTTTATTGTGTTGTGGTTGGTTACGTTCTGGTGACGTGTAGAACTTGGGAGTGCAGGCTGCTGCCTGAGAGGTGGTTGGAGACGGAGTGTCTCCATGCTGCTTTGTTTTGGTCACTTATGTGCGTGAGGCGAGTGGTGTTACGACCCTTCCTGGGGAGTTTGGCTCGTGTGCAAAAAGGAAGGGACAATAATGTGGAATTTAAAAGTTAAAATGATGATCAGGTTTATTTACAACTACAAAAAAAACAACAACAAATCTTTCCATCCACAGGTTGGGAGCAATAAAACTAATTCTGCCTGTGGGGAATTAAAACAAAAGTACAAATAACTAGGGATGTCCCACTGGGCACAGATTACAGGGTTCTGGACCAAAATAAGAATCTCCAAAGTTCCAAACTCTAAACTGGGCGGTTAAACCAAACTCAAGGTGATATTTTAAACTAAACCGAAAACCCACAACACTCTAAATGTAATAAAAGGGAGATCTGCACCACAAAAAAGATCAACTCTAAACGAAAACGTAACAGCTTATCCAAATGCAAGAAGCTGTTAGCGAAAATGCTAACAGTAGCTTTACCAACGTTAAGTTCAAGTTACCAAGTTTAAATAAACCAAAAACACCCAGCAAACAGACCAGCACGGAGGAGAGACTGCTACCACCAAAACAGCTCTCCTAATGTCTGAAAGAAGCTCCTTTATGAAGGGAGAAACGCTCCCGGTGATTTTCTGTATCTGCGATAGAGACGGAGCAGTGCATCTGACCCCGGAAATTGTTGTCTGTTGTCGGGAGACGAAGGCGGGCAAAACACGAAAGGAACCTAGTAGCGGACGGACGTTGTTCCGGGTCTTTGGTATTTGGCGGAGATGTTAGTGAAGGCGGAGAAGAGGGCGAACTAGAGGAAAAACAGGCAGATTCCTCCTCTATTTACAAACTCCTGGGGATGCAACAAGTGGGCGCGGTGCGTCGACTACCGGATCTGACATCGACGAATTTTTAGAATCGAGCCGTCAACGTCATCGAGGCTTCGCTACAGCCCTAAAACTTTAGTTCTTATTAGAAAAACAGCATCAGAACGCTATCTGGTCGTGTTCTGCCTCACCGCACTTAGGACCCTCTTTTAGATCCGGACCTTAGGAGGATGTTTCTCCAGATGACACCTTGGCTGACAGAGAAGACAAAGGTGTGCGACGGTCCAGTCCAGAGTTGACCTCGGTACACGTTGCTGAAGCGTTTCGGCAGATGCGTTTTCTCATGTTTAAATTAACTCAGAAATCAAAAGACTCTGGGACGAGTCTGCGATAGCAGGTTGCATTTCAGCTCTTCGGTCTGGCTTGACAGAAATAGCGTGGTGGGAGAACAGGAGCCTGAAGGGCTCCTCTCCCCGTGGCGTTCGTTCCGCACTTCTGCTCTCTCCCCTCTGTTCTGACCCTTACCGAAAAACTTCTCTTCCCAAAGCAAACTTGTTGTGCGTCAGAGCAAATGTGTTTTGAAGTTACTGTGGATCCGGACCTGTATGAGCAGGTGTGAAGGTCATCGCTAAACATCTTCAAAAACATTATTTAATTAAGTATACTGATTCATTATAGTTCATTATTATTACCCAAAGCATAATAATCATTCATTTGATTAAAATACATTTACAATGGGCAAAGTAATCAAATGATTATTTAGCATTAATAAAATACAGAAGCTTAAGACTCTGTTTTATTATGACTAGACTGTGTGTGAAGTCCTTCTTCTGGAGAGCAGGTGTTCGGCTGTTGTGGAGTCCTTCAGACTTGCTGGCGGCTTAGGTCTTAATCTGTGGGTGAAGGTGCTGCGTGACCCAGCTTTGACCCAGCCGAGCAAATACGACCTTTGGCACAGAAACCCATACTTCCTCACGTTACAGTGTTTTCACGCTTTCTCCGAGACATGTCACGTCGCTAAGTTGTAAGCGCCGCGCGCTAACACGTCAATAGTGCAACGTAGCCTGCTGGAGGTTTTAAGGGTTCAGATGAAAACACCCGACCTCTCACGCTGCTCACACATCGATCTTAAGTTGTCGCTGCTGCACTCACGCCGTAATACAGTATTAGATGCTGTTAAAGTCAGACATGAAAAAATAAATAAACTTTACATGAATAAGTGATGCTTAGCCTGGTGGGGGGAGGAGAACCTGGCCTAATAAGCACTGGAGGAAACCCTGTCAAGATCGTCAACACTCGTTTATCTTAACGCTATTGAAACATGTAAACGTAAAAGCATTGTATCCACTGCTACCTTTCTAATTTTAAACTCAGTAACTTATGCTGTAACTTCACCTTGCCCTGCCTGCTCCTTGCTGCCCGCCGGCTGTGATCACAAGCGACAACATAGTAGTTCCCGCTGCTTCTTCGGGAAACAGCGCAAAAAAAAAAAAAAAAAAAAACTTGGGATCTTGTAGGTGTGGCGGTGGGATTTCAGCCGTGGCGGCCCGCCACGGCTACGCCTATGTAAGGGAAACCCTGTTGATTGTCTGGTTCTTGTTTTATTACCCCAGTTAAAAATTCTGTCGTGGGTATTTTTTCCTCCAAATATCTATTAGATCAAATCTTTGCATTATTGATTTTAGGTATATATTAGCGTTAGACAGAGGACCTGGTGGCCACCTATCCATGGTGTTGTCCAAAATGACATTAAAATCACCTCCTATAACTAGATAAGCATGAGGAAATTTAGCCAACCAATAACAAATAGTCTTTTCTACGATTGTAAGGAAATTGTTATTATCACTTGTCGAGTTATATCCATAAATGTTAATTAGAATGAAGTTGTAAGTATATATTTCCAGAATCTGACATATATAGTGACCATTATCGTCACAGTCAGTATGTATTATTTTACCAGTAAAAGTGTTTTTATGAGTACAATAGGGCTGCAACAAACGATTATTTGGATAATCGATGAATCGGATGGGGTCTCGACACGATTAATCGATTAATCGGATTACATCGGGACATTTTTAAAAACTGCTAGGGAAACGTTATTTTTCTCCTTCCTTCACTTTATTAAACACAACATTATTAGAAAACAGTTCAATAGCAGAAAAATGACATGCCATCACCTAAATTGTCTTATAAGGTGAATAGACAGAGACCCTAAGCTACACCTATCTGTGACCTAAAATACTTGGTCCAAGTTAAACAGCTTAAAGAGCAAGTCAACCCCTACCAGAGTCTTAACTCCACTCCCACTTCATGTTTGAAAAATGCAACACATGCTGTTGCCTGGCAGACCGAGAGGGCGGAGCTGCTAACAAACACACACTCAGGCTCACAACAGCATTGTGACATCATAATGTACCAGTTTACATCATAGCATACTTCTTAGCCAATAGCGGTGGCAGATTTAAATTAAAATACTGTGCAGAGTTTTTACCTGACAACGGCACAACACTGCCAGTTTTAGGCAAAATATTTAAATTTTGACTAAGATGCACTGAAGTGCCAAATTATTGACGACACGTGTCTGCAGCACGATTAGACACTCGTTTATTTAGTTTATCAGCAAAAAAAAGTTTATTTGGGGGTGACTTGCTCTTTAAGGGCAATTCTCATCTGTTTTGTTTGATCTCATCTGTAGACATTTATTATAATTGGGGATGTCAAACAACTAATTTTTAAATGTAATTAAACATAGGCTGTGAATTAATCAAAATTAATCACTATTTCCAAAAATGACTGAAAAAATACCAAATAAAACAAAAGTAAATGAATGCCATCCTCCTTGCGATGATGCCCTGGGCAACTGCCATAAAGTCACATCAAGAGATGCTGCTGATCATTCCAATGATCCCAAATAGACTCACATTAGGCCACATGAAAGCAACTGAACCCAAAAATATATTAACCAGTATATAACTGCACTCACACAACAGCCTGCAGCAACAGTTAGGACTCCTCCCTCCCTTTTAAAAGCGTTTTCGCTTGTGAGGACATTGTGGTTGTAAAGCCACATGTTAGTAGTCTGGCCCCGGTGTGATCAACCAGTTTCTGCGGGAATGTGACGGCGGAACCGGTTCGCAGCGGGCGGGAGCCCCCCCCCCCCGCCTATCTAATAGCGTTGCGCTTACGATTTTATAGACTTTTTTTAACGAGCTTAGGGCATGTCTAGCCTGTGTAATAATCCGGGGCTTGGGTGAATCACTTTTGAAAAGTTTTTAACTTACCCGGACACAGAGCTCTCTCCTTCCTCGCTGATGATTCTGACATGCTTGCGTTTAAGACGCTGCATCATCACCGTAGTATCCCCGTGCCATGCTAAGTCTGACCTACATACGTTGCAGGTAACGAATGTCTTCGCCTGATTTAACTGAAAATGCTCCCAAACTTTAGAAGTTTTTACTTTTTTGGGTCTCGCTGCTTCTGCCATGTTCCTCTTTCCAAACACCTGCCGGCTCTCTGGTCTGCGCGCAACGGCGGGCGGGAGGGGAGGGGGCTATTGGAAGAGTTGTGCAACACAACGAATCGATGACGCAATTCGTTGCCAACGCTTTTAGTAATCGATTTTCATCGAATTTATCGATTCGTTGTTGCAGCCGTAGAGTACAAACTCCAGCAGACCTTTGTGTAGCATTTGAGAAAAAGGTCTCATTTCCCCACTGAGATTTCCTAAAGCAGACATCATCATCACCTGTATGAGTTTCCTGAAAAAACAAAAATCAGTTTTGCATTGTTTCCCAAACAAAAATAAAGCTTTTCGTTTCAAGTTATCCCTTAGACCCCTGGCGTTGAGAGAAACTATGGATAACGACAAATCTGTGATATTTAGATGAACTTTAACTTGCCGATCGCACATTTCTTACCCTGCGAGCTATATGAAGGATTGATACGAGAACAGCATCAACATGAGGTATAAGAGCATGTAAATTCAACATAAATGCACGGCATATGAGCCAACAGTCACTTGCAGAACTTAAGGCAAATTGTCGGGGGAACATGGAGCAAGTGTGGAGAGTTGTAGTAGCCAAGCTCCTCAACTCAGGCTGGAGGAAAAATCTCCTTTTTCTCAATAAAAGCACGGCCTCCTACAAAGTATGCGATTTTCCCCGCCTTGTGTGCTTCACTCACAAGCGGCCAGAGTTTCAGCCTTGCTTCTCTATCAGCTTTGCAGAGATCTTCCGCGAAGCGTAGACCGTTCCCTCGAAGGTAGGATGAGTTTTTCGCTGCAGCCCACACCGCAGCTCTTTGCACCCGTGAGGAGAACTGTATGATGATGCCTCTGGTGGCGCTCGGTTTCTTCACCCCGACCCGGTGGACTGTGCCGATTACATCTGGGAGTCGTTCGGCATCTGATGGCAGCAGCTCCTGGCAGATACGGGTCACCTCTTTCCGCACATCTTTGTCTTCCACCCTCTCAGACACTCAGTGTAACTTTAAACTCCAGTGCCTCGAATATCTCTCTATTTCATTAATGCGTGATTCAAGCGTGAGAAGCTGCTTCTTTTCTTCCGTAACTGAGATTTCGAGTTGAGAGACCTACCCTTTACCTCAACCACTTGCTTGCAGAGGACATCCGAATCTCCCCTCAGGCTCGAGATTTGAGCTGTATTATCCTTAACCAACGTCTTCAGTTCGTCCGATCTGGCGTTGCTCGACGTTGATAAAGAGGTGACAATATCATTGTTTGCCATTTCATATTTACCTTTCTTACTGGGTGGTTTCTCTGGGGTAATGGGGAGAGGCGGAAATTCCCCTTCATTCATTACAGAAAATTTTGGGGCGACATCTACGGCAGAGTAGTCATGGCAGTTGTCGATAAGAGCGTTGGAAGCACCTGCAACCTCCTGTTCCTCCATCTTCTTCATCGCACTTTTTCTCTTCCCGCTAGAGTTCGCCATAACTTGAAAAAGAAGCCTTAAGAGTTTTCTATTGTAGTCAAATACGGTAAAAGACTCGGTTTTGACTCACAGTAGGAAGTTTCAAGCCGTATTATAACTATATATTTGCAAAATAAAGTTCAGTTTGATAGCTGCCCTCAAAAGCGCGTTCGTTCACAGCGCCATCTTTGCTCGCCTCCCTCTGCTTTTTCAATTGTCCAAGCACTTTTTGCTTGTTTGTTTTGTTGAACGTAAGCAGGAAGACGAAAAGTTACGCTGACTGGATACAATTCGGGGGAAGTACTGCCGCCTACAGGTCTGGCATGTCCTTAACAACGTATTTATCCGGGTACGTGTGAACAGAGTTTTTTTTTAAACAAGGTGGTGTGGATGCAAGTTTTTGGAGGGGCGGATATTTGTTTAAAAAAAACCCGGCTACATGTGGACTAGACCTTAGAGAAAGTTTTCATTTAAAAATTAGCTCAGGAAGCAAGTTATTGATCTACATTTTTGTTTCAAATTTATAAAGGTAATTCAGAAATAAACCATGTACAAATAGTTAAAAACATGCTAATATTTGTTACTAAATTTTGACTTTAGAAAACTTTTCTTGACTCAGTGAACTCAGTGTGTTAAAGGCATCTCATCACACCCAAATATAATCTTTTTTTCTTGTATAAAATCAATTCCTATGAAAAGTGACATTAGTGTGATAATGTATTGTGGTTTAGCTGATTTTATTCTGAGTTTTCATACTTCTATGTTTTTCTCAGGGTGCTAGGTTCTGTACCTGCCATCCTGCAGCACTGCACATCAGATCATGAGGTCAGCCTCGTTAGCATCATAAGAAAGCACGGTGAGTACACACTAATGCCACCGACTCTTACAGCTAAGACCCACCCAACACTTATTTTATTTTCTTATTTGCCCTTTTTAGATTTAGATGACTATGGTTACATAAAAATGATCAACTTCATTCGGTCAACAGTAAGTGCTTTCATTGAATCAGAGCTTTCACATATAAATTAAATGTTTTGAGCCAGCACCTGTAAATATAAACGAAATATTTCTTGCAGCAGTATACATGTGTTTGCTTACTCAGAAATGCAGCCCATCCTGCCTGATGGGGCTGCCAGATGGTCCTTTACCTTGGGAGAGTGAAGATTTCCTGCGACCGGCGCTGCAGGACGACCCACTGCTGCAAGCAGGTGCACATCATCAACAAGGGTTAAATACTTGGATAATAATCCAGTCTAGCAAGCCTCTGCACTCCCCTTACTGTGGCTTTAAAGTTATTGTTAACACTAATATTGTAAGTTTCAGCAACTAAGAATACACTAAAGTCACACTCAGGTGAAACTTGAAAAATTAGAATTTGGTGCAAAACGTTTTGTGTGTATATACATATATACACACAGAGCTCCGTGCAATAGGAAACTGAGCGCTGACCAGAACTGACCAGTAGCGTTAGACTACCACTTAGATCACATGTGTCAGTCACAAGGCGCGAAAGATTCAAGTGTCTTTAAAAAAAGTCTATGCCACTTCAAAGCGCACATTGACTATAAACTACATTTCCCATAACGCATGGCGATTGTGTTCCCAGTGCAGTGACTCGCCACTAGGTCGCAGTGTATCCACTTCCGTGTTTAATTAATGCAACAAGTGAAAATAACTATTCACACATCATCCCAAAATGTCCAGGAAGAGAAAGATTGATGCAGAAGGAAGGGTGTTTCAGCAAAGATGGAACATGTTGATGCTTCAAGGAGAAAAACCGGTATGTCTTTACAGTCCTTAGCGTCCATGCTACTAGTATCAGTGTTTGCAGCGCTACCTCCTCTGCCTCGGACAAATTGAAAACACTCCTCTTACTCAGCACGGAGTTTACTCAGCAATTGGACTTTAAAGCCCAGAAATGGATTTTAACAGCTCAGTAATCTATTTGCTGCTGACATAGACAGCGCACCGACCAAGTTCCAGACCGAGATGATTTAACTCCAGTTTATCGACACGCTCAAGTCAGTATGACTCTGTGGCTGCTGTAGCTTTTATTCCCCTCCCCGACACAACTGCGTGGTCCAGATGCTCTCCATGTCCAGCAACACAAACCTGTGTGAGTAATGGTTTCTCACTGATGAACTCCTTCCTCAGTTCAGAGTCCAACCCCACAGATGCAGGCAGTGTTGGGCAAGTTACTTCAAAACTGTAATGCATTATTTATTACTTGTTACCCTCATTTTAAAGTAATTCATTACATTACAATCTTACTGATTTTAAAATGTAAGGCATTACACTACTTTTGCATTACTTTAAGTTACTTTCACCAAAACAACTTCAATATGAATTTGGTAATCTGATGCTCAGTGAGCTCATGACATATTTGTGGAAAGTGACATGGTATCTGAGCTAGGATTGCTGTTAAAAACAGTCGGGTATAATAACAGTGCTTTAAAATGATTGTTAAATAAAAGCAACAACAATCTGTACTCTCAGCATGCTGCCATCTCATATTAACTGAGCAGGGAGTGACGTGGTGGGGGCTATATTTGCCTTGGTCCCCAAATGCCTTGATACGGCCCTGGATGTGGGACTGACTTCTGGGGTGATCTGATTCTATTACTTGTATAAATATTAAATGCTTAAATATTATCCGTATATCCAACTCAACCTCTCTAAAACTGATCCCAGCAAAACCATCCATACAGCACAATATCTCTATCCAAAATGACTTCCTATCTCTGGCTCCTTCAGAGGCAGTTTGAAATCTGGGTGTTGTGATTGATGAACACCTGACCTTTAAAGATCATGTTACCTCTGTTGCTCGTTCATGCCGCTTTGCGCTGTATAACATACGAAAGATCAGACCATACCTAACACAACATGCCACCCAGCTCCTGGTGCAATCTGCTGTCATCTCCCGCCTCGATTACTGCAATGCCCTTCTAACTGGTCTTCCAGTCTGTACTGTGAGACCTCTTCAAATGTTCCAGAACGCAGCGGCGCATCTGGTCTTCATTCAGCCTAAAAGAGCACACGTCACCCCTCTGTTCATTGAGCTCCACTGGTTACTGCTAGCAGCACGCATCAAATTCAAATTGCTAACACTAGCATACAAAGTCCGAGATGGTACGGCTCCCATCTACCTGAATCCTCTTGCAAAGGCTTACGTCTCGGCCCGGCCGCTCCGGTCATCACAGGATCGTCGGCTAGCAGTGCCTACACCACGCTCAGGACAATCCAGACTTTTCTCATGCATCGTTCCACAAATGCGGAATGACCTACCAAGCACTACCAGAACGGGGCTTCCCTTTCAATCTTCAAGAAACTCCTGAAGACCCTGCTCTTCAGAGAGCATCTTCTAAACTAGCACCTTCCCTGCACCCGTCCCCCCTCTCTACTGTCCACTCCTTGTTCCCTCCTCTCCATGACTGATGTCGTTGTTGTTGTCGTTATTGTTGTTAGCCTCAAGGGCAACATGCCGATTATCACTTGTAAGTCACTTTGGACAAAAGCGTCTGCTAAATACATAAACATAAACAATATTGCTTTTCACTGGTAAAAATGTGTATTGGGGATAAATCTACCTACCTTTTTTCTTATTTTTCTTGATTTTATTTGAATAATTTCCTGCCCTTTCTCTCTCTAATCTTCCTGCATGCTGCATGTTTTCTCCATCTTCCAGAAAAACTGTTTCCTAGATTTACTACTTTCTAACTAATCAGCCAAAGGGATCTAGCGAACGCAAAAAAATAAAAATAAAGCTTAATATGCGCTGCACTCAAGCAGCAGTGAGTTGAAATCACTGGGGCACAGATTATGAACTCAGCTGAAAAGTACATGAAGTACCAGAGAATATGGGCTCATATGAACAATTGCAAATGAATTACTTTGTTTTGGTGGAGCGATTTTGTGAATATAACAGCGGCCGCGCGCAGGACGCAGCTGGAGTATTTGAGCCATTACCTCTGTGTCCTCTCTGCTCATAGAATGCCCGCAAAGCTGAGTCCATAAATGACGTCATATATGTGGATACTGGATCTTTTTTCAGGCTTCCCGCAATTTGAATTTTTAGGAAACCCACATCTTGATTCTGGGTTTAAAAATGCATTGTAATTACCGCGTTACTGACAATTGTACCGAGTAAATATTACCATTTTCTTTCCATGTAATGCCTTACATTACCACATTACAGCAAAAAACAATGCATTACAGTAACTAATTACTTTTGTACCGCGTTACTCCCAACAATGGATGCAGGTCTGGCTGGAACAGGTGAGCATCACAGGAAATCAGAGTGGAGAAAACTGGGATTGAATTATTTTGGTTTTATTAACCTTTTCTGCTCTAAAACATGAAAGTTAATAGGTGAGATATTGCATTTTCATTTAAGAGGAGTACTAAATCTTTATTAATGATGTTGGCCTGTGAAAAAAGATTCCACCTACTTTAAAACAGGATAGATTACAGATAGAAGAATAGAATAGAAATAAAATAGAAAATCCCTTTATTGTCCCTCAGTGGGGAAAGCTTGGTGTCACAGCAGCAATATCATTCATTACAGGAGCAACAAAGGAGAGTAAAAAATAAAGAATGAACAAGAAAACATAAAATAGAAACACTTCAAAGATTCAAAAGATAAAAAAAATAAGAAGAAATGCTGAATATATGCAGATTTTAAGGAGTAAAATATTTAAACAAAATTGAGACATAAGTAACGAATACCACTGATGTGCTTTACTTAAAATCGACTTGCTCGTGTGTAATTTGGTTATTCCACATTCAGTATTACTGCAAAAACAAGTTTGTTTCCAAATAAAAAGGTTCAACTGTTCATATCTGTAGATAAAGGAAAATGTGCACATTTGCCGCCGCTCGAAAAAAAATATTGAGTTTGGCCCACGACTTCGTCCCAGTTTTTCATTTTGGCCCAGTGTGAATGTGAGTTCGACACCCCTGTTCTAGATGCTTCAAATTTGAGGAATACCTCGGCTGATGCAGAGTTGATGAACTTTTCACGGACAAGTAAGTCTCTAAAATATAAATATCTGAAAACACAACATGACATGAGAATAATACTCGTAAAACAACGTGTTTTAGCTCTGTTTGTCGGCTACAGAAGCACATTTATAAACCGAAACTTGAAGTCGCCATCTTAAAAAAACATGGGATTTTTGTGTGATACGCTTGTCAGCCACTAGATGGTGCCATCGGATAAGACAAATACTCCGGAAAGAAGCTTTATAGGGATTTGTGCACATTTTTGGGGTACCCACATGCTTAGCTGTGTTGCTCATTCCACAAATACACAGTCTTTCTAAAATGTCTTATAGTAAAAATTTGTGATGATGCTTTCCAATGATTTAAGGTTCATGGCCAGGAGGCCCTTCTATAACACTGACATAATTACTTTTTGCCCTAATTTGATCTGAATGTGTGTTAATTGTATTTGGTTGTTTTTGTAAGAAATTTACTTGGTTTCAAATCTAAGCGATGCAGCAAGAAGCCAAGCACACATGTCTCAGTTCTAATTAATTATAATAGTTTGCTACATTAAAGAAAAACAAATACATAAGAGCTTTTTAGGATATCTTTTAGATAATTAAATAAGACATTATCTTTGGGTTCTGGAAAAGTTCTGAATTTACTAAAACTCAGAATATCAGCAGATGAATTTGAGGTATTTTATATATAATTATATAACTTTCTTTTTCTAACTGTATTAATTGAAAAATCTTTCCATACAGCAGCTATTTGAGATTTGTAAAGCTGTTTCTCTCCATCCTCTGTAACTTTGTCAGACCCTGAGGAGCTCTGTGGTAGTGAGGAACCGGTCTCATCAGGAGGTTCATCATCCAGGACCCATGATGCTCTGCTGCGGAGGACACAGGCTGCTGAGGAGGGCCTGGCCAGAAGCCTGGAGGACGTACACAAACTCAAGTCTGTAACTTTTATCTTTTTTAGGTTGTGATTTAATGTTTTCTGAAGGAACTTGTTAACGGGTAATCAGAATGGCGTGTTGCTTCAGCACTACCGCCTTTAGCCAGCAGGGGGCACAGTGATCCCTTCACCACAGAAACAAAAACTGGAGAACCAACCTTGTGGAAGAAGTCTGAAGGGAAGGGGAAACATGAAAAGGGGAAAGGAAAATTCCACTGCAGCAAGGAGGCTAAAGCGAGGATGGGAGGTAGGAAGAGGAGAAGGAAAATTACAGAACGAGTGCAGATGGGGTGGACGTGAAGGAGAGTTAAAAAGATGAATGCCTCCCATCTTCTTCGTTTACTGCTTTGTCCTGCATGAGAGCCGTGTCTGCTCTCTCCTTTCTGGTCACTGCTTTCGTCCTGTGGGGAGTTAATAGCAGATCTATCTGCTTTTCCTTCAGACTCCTGGTTCAGGGTTTGTTTCTGGACGCAGAAACCAGTAAATCTGGTGAACTGGGCGCGGTAGCCAAGCTCCGTGAGGACGAGGACGAGGCCTACTTCAGCTCCTACGGCCATTACAGCATCCACGAGGAGATGCTGAAGGTCTGAATCACCCAAACACTCACACACGTGCACTAACACTGACTAGTATCGTGGCTCTCATTCCTCCTGTGGGTAATTTCCTGCAGGCAGATCGGGCTTCCTGCGGGCAGGATGGGCTCATCGCTGCAAAACTCGGGCGAAAGATTTTGATGTGGCGTTTAAAAGGAAATCGTCTTTCTACGTAAACTCATAATGAGGACAAGACCTTTCAAAAGTGACAAATCAGCAATAAACGCTGAGCTCTCATGTGAGACATTGCACTTGCCTCAGAACATGGAAATTAATTTTTACGCCTTGAAGCGCTGAAACCTGAAAGTGTCAGCACACACCGAGAGGGTGGGGGTTATCGCCCACCCGCTCTCTCTCTCTCTCTCTCTCTCTCCTGTCTGCACCTCTCTACTTACTGCAGTGCTCAGGCATATTCCTGCTGGCAGCCCTGATTGGTGCTAAGCTCCATGAAGTTTTGCGTTGTTTGTGCGTCAGTCTGAAAACTTCATCAGAGCCTCGGGATGGGCTGAGGGATGGTGACGAAGGGGCAGATGGTGGTCAGGTCTTTCTTTGGTTGGAGTCAACTGCATCACCAGTGACGCAGTCTTAGCGAGGAGGACGTCGTTTATTATCGTTTCAATGTTGATTTGTTGTTAATTTTGGGAAAATTGCTCAAATCTTTCAAAATTATTATTTTCTTTTCACGTTATTTTGTGTGAATAATCATCACGCAGCATATTTTTGCTTAATAAGTTGTGTTTTTCTCTTCTTTAAAGTAAAATGCCTCATGTGTCATATGGAATTCATTATTAATTATGGCAAAAGTTCATTTTTTAATCGATACACAAAGACTCCTCACTTCCTTTTGTGTTTTTACCTCACGTATCGTACTTTGACTTTTGTAGACTCTGCAGTTTTCCTTGCAGAGATCTGCTGCGTTGATTATTGTGCAGATCTGACTGGCAGGTTAATTAGTGAGTCATGACTTTTTATTTATTTCTGCTGTATTTATTTTATTGATTTGTTTTAAAATTTTTAGGACCCCCCCAAGTGTCTAATTATCAGCTTGATAAATAAAAGCTTAACTTGCCATAGATGCAGGATTTTTGTTTCTGCATCATTTTCATTTTGAAAGTCTTCTTTCTGCAGGATAAAGTGCGGACGGAGAGTTATCGAGACTTCATGTACAGGAATGCTGAAGTGTTCAGGGACAAGGTGAGCCTATGCAGTGTGTGTGTGTGTGTGTTTATTTTTTTGCATGTGTGACTTGACTGATTTAAAGTAAAGCAGAACCCATTAACAGAAACAGGAGTGTGCTTTTTCCCAACCAGGCATTAATAAGGTGAAGAAGCTGATTTAAAACACACTGCTGCTCTCTATTAGCACCTTAAGTGTCGACTGCAGAGTCCTGATAACAGCAATGCAATCCACTATCTAAGCCATAACACCCCACCACTAATAAAAAGGCCTCTCCACACCCCTTACTCTTTTATTTATTTATTTATTAAATGGATGGTTGGTGGTTTGGTGCTGGGAAGGCTGTGAGTGTCCGTTATCCCTGTCAGGTGGACTCTGTGGGCAGATAAGAGGCATCTTTGTTACCGGTAGCAACAAAAAGAAGTACAGTGTCATCAGACATGGAGAAGGAGAGGGGGCGTTGTGCCAGCAGGGACGCTCTGTGAACATCACAAAGACAGCTGGATGATTACTGCGAGTTTCCTTAAATAGAGAGGCAACTAAAGTCTGTTACATTTAGATGGTGATGCAGTCTCTGCCACCTTGTCCTGGCTGTTTAACTCCACTTAGACGTGCGCGCACAGTTATTGTTGTGTGTTGAAGATGAGGGTGGGATACGGCGCGAGGCCCTTCATGGAAGTGTTGGCAATTTTATCTTAATAGCATGTTTCATTACATGTGAAGCCAGTGTACTCGACATTGAAACGCATACATTATACGTGTGTGTATGTGCGTGTGTGTGTGTATGCAACAGCCGTTAAGATAAAGAAGCCGAGCGAATGTCATTCCAGTGTCTGATAACATGAGCAAGGGCAGGTGCAGGCAAAGCAGGTGGGACCTGGTAACATCACAGAAAAGCCGGAGGGGAATGTGACCAACCGTAGAGAATTCTAAACATACATCAGACCAAGATGGTAGCGCCAACGTCCGTAAGGTTTTTGTTTTACTTTCAGTCATTGAATGTTTGCTTGAGTTCATGTTCAGGGTTGAATACTGAAGACAGGCCTTCAACAAGGGCCTGGTCTTTTTAAATGTTCTTTATTTTAGCTGTTTTTTCTTTATTCTGAGCTGTTTCACAATGTAAACCCGAGTTCATGTTCATGCTCCTTTTACTCTTAATTACACCATTTCCTGTTGTCCTAGAATCTTTTTGATATTTGTCTTCTTTTTTTAACAGTTTTTATGTATTGTTTTTGAATGTCAGAAATGAATATTTGGGAATGTGGAGATGTTATATTGGTTTCACTGGTAAAAATAAATAATTGAAATGTGTATATATTTGTTTTTTGTGAAGTTGCCTAATAATTGTTGTTTCTGTAATCAGAAAAGCATTTCCGTGTGTGTGTGTGTGTGTGTGTGTGTGTGTGTGTGTGTGTGTGTGTGTTTGTGTGTGTGTGCAGCTGTTCTCATCTGTCCTGGACAAATATAAACGATCATCAAACCTATGAATATTTGGGAATGTGGAGATGTTATATTGGTTTCACTGGTAAAAATAAATAATTGAAATGTGTATATATTTGTTTTTTGTTAAGTTGCCTAATAATTGTTGTTTCTGTAATCAGAAAAGCATTTCCGTGTGTGTGTGTGTGTGTGTGTGTGTGTGTGTGTGTGTGTGTGTGTGTGTGTGTGTGTGTGTGTGTGTGTGTGTGTGTGTGTGTGTGTGTGTGTGTGTGTGTGTGTGTGTGTGTGTGTGTGTGTGTGTGTGTGTGTGTGTGTGTGTGTGTGTGTGTGTGTGTGTACAGCTGTTCTCATCTGTCCTGGACAAATATAAACGATCATCAAACCTATGTCTAAAACTGATTCAGTATTCTGGTGTGGAAGTTTGTGGCGACGCACTTTCCTGTAATGAATGCCAGAGCTTTAATAGGATTAATGAATCAGAAAACCGGAACACGGATAGCAGGTCCTCTTCTTTTGATGTGATTTTGCTATTATTATTAGAGAATGCTGCTGTTGTGTCCTCGAGCAAGACACTACCCACCTTGCCTGCTGGTAGTGGGCGGAGGGACAGTGTTCGGCAGCCTCGCCCCTGCCAGTGCACCCCAGGGCAGATGTGGCTACATCATAGCTCATCCTAGAGCCCTGCACTGAAGCCTTAGGCCCTCGGGTCGGCCCGGCCCGACGGCCCTCGGGCCGGGCTTCGGGCCAACGACTGTGTAATTACCTCGGACACGGGCCGGGCCGGGCGCCTTTATTTTTATTCGAAATCATTAAAAAAATTAAAACACTTAAACGCAGCAGTAGAGCCCTGTGCGGGACTGTTTTCTTCATCCCGCTCCGCTCCCGCTGAATTTCTGACCATTACAGCCTGCAACCGCAACGTGTGTGTTACACTCCCGCCCGCACCTGCAGCGTGCATGTCTACTCCCGCCCGCACCTGCAGCGTGCATGTCTACTTCCGCCCGCAACCGCAAAACTCGGAGAAATTATTACCTCACAATAAAAGAGATGTATTGAGTTTGCGTCCTCAACATGTCATTTTATAGGTTATCCGCTTTCACAGCAGTGCTGCGCTCCGTTTCAATCAGGCTGCACAGCAGGATTTCCCCTCGTAGCGATATTTTCTCTAACTCTGATTGCTTCATGCTATAGATCGTTGGAAAGCTGCTTTTATGTACTTTTAGGAACCGTTGGAATTATTTGAATCTGATCAGCCATTCAAAAGTTATAAAACGGAGCATTTTGGATGACAAACTCGCACGTCTCTGAATCTGTGTTGTGATTCGTTGCGCTCAAGACAGGAAATCCCGGTGGCTACCATAATGTATTGTATGTGCACGGAAAGCCCCATTTTTAATCTTTTCAGCACTTTTGGAATTTTAATGATATCTTGAACTAGAGCAGGGATCGGCAACCCGCGGCTCTTCCATCCATCTGCCGATGTGCTTGTAAAATAATGAATGGATATTTAAATAAAATGCTTTATATTTTACTGAATTAATTTTATATCTGTAAGTCAATTCTATGTGAAGATTGTCTGCGTAAACCTGAACAGTTCCAACCCAGTCTTACTGGGAGACCGTGTTGGGTCACGCTTGTGCGTAATCATATGCGCTCATGAGCTGAAGAGGATGTGAGATTCTGGGCTTCTCCTCAGACGGCTCCTGGATGTGTCGCACATTGGAGACAGGAACAAGCACTATTCAGCCAAAGTTTCATAATCAGGGAACATTTTGTAAGTGACAAGTCTCTCTGAGAGACAGGGTTTGGAAAACACTCGCTTCAGTGGGAAGCTTCCCGCATGCGCTTCTGCGACGCTCGGATCCTGCACGTCTTTTAACACATTGGTCAGGATTGACGCACTTTGTTTTCATTTAGTTGGTTAAAAAAAGTCGGGCTTGGGCTCGGGCCGGGCCAGAGAATCCTGAAAACCTTTTCGGGCCGGGTCGGGCTGGGGCTCCACCCCCTCGGGCCGGGCCGGACACGGGCTCAGATTTTAGGCCCGTGCAGGGCTCTAGCTCATCCCCACCAGTGTGTGAATGGGTGAATGCCTGATTGTGTTGTGAAGTGCCTTGGGGGGTTGTAGAACATGAAGAAGGTGCTATATCAAATACAGACCATTATCATCATTTTTATTATTATTATTGTTTTTTTTTTAAAAAAGAACATTTTGTTTCTCTCTGGGGTCAATAAAGTTTTTTTTATCTGAATTTTAAATCTACTTTGTACATTCGCTCAGGTGTAAAGGAGGCATCAGGTTTTGTGACTCTTTAAAATTAATTTGCTGTTTTATCAGAACAAAAAGAGTTTGTATCAAGTCCACATCTGCTTGAGCGCTGGGTCCTGTGAGCCACTGAGCTTTGATAAGACCAATCAATGGAAGAAGCATCAACTCTGATGGTTGACTAAAGTTCATTGCTTCCATTGATTGTGATATAGTCCTGTTTTGTTTCCTGGTGCCTTTCTGTGTAATTAGATTTGAAATCTGAAATGAACTCATTACTTCACACTTTCCATATTTTTGGAGTTCGTTAGGACCTAATAAACATTTCTGGGTGCATTTCCTGTTGGTGTTGTTAGAATGGGCTCAGCTGGTAGAACCCGAGTTCTCACAACCAGGATTTCCATGTTCCCTCCATGTTCTGCAGGTGGTTCTGGATGTGGGCTGTGGGACTGGAATACTATCCATGTTTGCTGCCAGATCTGGGGCCAAAAAGGTTATTGCAGTGGACCAATCAGAAATCATCTATCAGGCTATGGACATAGTCAGGTGAGACACTTACATAAAGGAGCTTAAATCAATCAGAAACCAACCATTTCTGTTTGTGGGTAATATTTCTCTGAGCTGGATGGTCCCCGAGTTGTTGGAGCAGAGTTTTGTGTGACCTCCATCTTCCTTTTATTTGTTGCAGCTGGTTGACTCCAATAGAGCTGCTGTCAGTGGCATCGCCGTAATGTTTATTATTTACACCTGCAGCTCGACTCGTTTGGCCCTCGCCTTGTCTCCTCTGCAGCAGCTACAGCCTTCGGCTCACAGTCACTTCCTCACAAACAGAATGTAGATGAAGCTTCTTTTTTATGATTTTATTGTTATAGTCCTCAGTCAGATTTCTGGTTCAGTGTGTTTCCAGTTTTCCAGCATCTGGTTTCTCACCATTGGAGTCCATTTACCTCCACCAGAGTTCCTGCTTTCCCTTCAGATACCTACAACCACCATTTCCCCACCTCTAAAGTGCAATTTTGAGTTAAAAGCCATTATGACTGCCATTATTACCATTATGTAAGAGTGTCATATAAGCAAAACAACAGGGTTTGTGAAAGAAAAGAATGTTTTAATTTTACAGTCCATTGACTTGCTTTTGAAGTGTGTGCGCACCACTATGCAGCGAAGTTTCAGCCAAAGAAAGATGCCCCCCCCCCCCCCCCCCCCACACACACACACACACACACAGGCCTTAACATATTTGTATGTATATCCAGAAACACAAAGACCTCTCCCCTTGGGATGATTCAGCTCTACCAAAGGCATGAGGCATAACTTTGAAGTTGTGTGTGTGTGTGTGTGTGTGTGTGTGTGTGTGTGTGTGTGTGTGTGTGTGTGTGTGTGTGTGTGTGTGTGTGTGTGTGTGTGTGTGTGTGTGTGTGTGTGTGTGTGTGTGTGTGTGTGTGTGTGTGTGTGTGTGTGTGTGTGTGTGTGTGTGTGTGTGCCGTGACTTCCTCTTGATGCTCGTATGAGGATTGTAATTAAAGTTTCTGCATCTGGCTGGGCAGGAGCATCCATCTCCTGTCTCCACTCTGTCGGCAAAGTTTAAATGAAAAGCCCGCCTTGGCTTCCCCCTTCACAGTCACTTTTTAATGGAAACTGTCTGCATATTTCAAAATAATTGCCATAATTGATAAATATTTGTGAGGAGGAAAACTCTGCTGCTTAACAAAAAAGCTGAGGGGGAAAAGCATGGTCATTAGTGAATACCAGTGAGATTTAATAAGACTTTAAGATTAATGATTCGGTAACAAAGTCTGGATGATTGGAATTAGTCACCAACTCTTATTTAATATCCAGAGAACATGATGAAACTATAATGTTTTAACGTTTCTATAAATTATTTTCATGTTGGGATCCATGTAGGTTGCAGTGGGAGACAAATAATCTATGACACGGTGGACATCTTACAGTGGAAAGCAATTATTGTTTGGTTTCTTTCTCTCACAAAGCTGCATAGACACTCTCCCCAGAGTACTGACATTGTCCTCTAAATTACTCCAATAATGAGGTTACAGTGTTCCCTTCTGGTGAAAGGTGGAGGAGGTGGTGGGTTTTGGGTGAGAGGCGAGGTGCAGGGGGAGGGGAGCGGGTTGCTGGGAGGAGGTGATGGCAGCGCTAGGAGAGCAGCTGAAAGAGCAGAGACAGTTTAAGATAAGGATCACTGCTGCAGAAATGCTCTCAGGGCCGCAGTGAGTAATTGTTCTGTCCTCTGTAACATTAGCTGTCATGATAATGGAATATTCACAGAGATTGATACTCAAACTGCTCTGAAAGGAGGGATCGTTTAAACAGCATCACTGATCTTTACACTCCGTACTCGAGCTAGACGCAAAGTTTCAGTTTTGTCCCTTTCATGTAGCTGCTTTGGTCTGGATAGACCTGGTTTAGACGGGACAATGAGCACAATGCTCCAGGTCCTGAAACGTTTTCTCTGCAGCATGCATTTAATTCAATATAGATACAGGGCCTATCAATACCTTCATTATTATTATTTAGGGATGTCCGATATTATCAGTCTACCAATAAAATCAACAGAAATCGGCATTAAAATGCAATATTGGAAAATATTTTGGTTTTCAGTCGTTTGATGACCCAAAGTTTACATACCATACACATATTATACATCAACCTCTTCAGCAACTTCTCTCTCTCAAAATGTAAAAATATGACAGATCAAAGGTAAAGTTTTTGGGATATTTTAGTTTATTTGGCACAAATTGTGAAGTAGAAATTTGCCGTCTAGTGAACATACACTGTCCTCTAGCTAGCTTTGTGTAGCTAGCAGCTAACAAACCACTAAAGCAAAAACAAGATTCTTCACCCAAGGCTTGCTTTTCTTATCAGAAGACTTTTAGAAATGTTCATTACCATAGCTGCAATATACAGAAAAAGAAAATGGATTACTAGCTAATATACGCATGATAGTCATGCTTAGGGAAAAATAAATATGGCACTTTTCCTATTACTATCTTAAATTGAAATAGTTGTCATTTTGCATGTTGAAAACATGAAAATGTTTAAAATTTTAGCATGATGGGAAAAATGTGATGTTAGTAAGCTAAAATGTAGTTATTTTTTTATGATTGGGGATATAGCATATATCGGTATCGGAAATTAATAGACAATATCGGTACATCGATATCAGTAAAAAAGCCATAATCGAGCATCCCCATTATTATTATTATTATTATTATTATTATTATAATTATTGCTTTTTAACTGACTAGTCCAAAACATCACGCATAACCTAAATCAGTGGCAATAAAATAACAGGCAAGTATACAGTTGCCTCAATTAGGCTATTAAAGGTTTTAATTTTTATTTATTACATTTATTTTATAATTTGAGCAGAAATTATGTAGCCCAGTTTTACTTTTTTATGATTCAGTTTTTACATGCTGCTGTGTTATCCCACAGATCCAATAATCTGGAAGACAAGATCACTTTGATCAAAGGCCGGATTGAGGACATCAAGCTTCCTGTGGAGAAGGTTGACATCATCATCTCTGAATGGATGGTCAGTTCTTGTTTTATTCTTTCTGATAATAACACCAGCTGAAGGCTGTGGGCTGGATTAGGATTAAATTACCCACCTGATGGATCTCTTTCACTAACCAGCTAACTACAAACCTTTCCACTAACCTGTCCTGTGGGACCCTCACCATGTGACCCTCATGTCCACGCTGTCTCTGGAGGAGCAGATAGGAGACAAGACCTCCTGTAACCTAAAATGGACAAGAGCTTCCTCCCAGTTTCTCTTTAAGCTGAATTTAACATCAGTTTATCATCATGAAACAAAAGAATAAATTGGAACAAAAACTTCTATCTTCTATTTCTCTCTCCTTTCAACTTCTCCGTGTCCCTAAATAAGAGAGACAGATGATCACGCTGCAGCCGCCGTCATTGACCCCGCCCCCTCCCCACGACTGGATCTCCCAGCATCACAACACTCGGTCTGACTGAGCGCTTCCAAGAGAAATAATAATTAAATTATGAAAGTAATAACACGTGTTTGGAGCATCGGTTTGGAGGATCGTCCTCCGATCCTCTCTCTTGTGTGAGCAGACGGTGTCTCTCTCTCTCTCTGTCGCTGATTGAGCGAGCGGAGCGTGCCGCATGACAACCTGCTCAATCAGCCCAAATCCAACAGAACCGGTCGGGCTGATTTGGTTCCGGTTCGGTCTCAGGTTACAACTCTAGCGCTCAGCCCTGCAGTACCACATTAAGGCGGAACCACTTGGTAAATGTGGAGGACACACGCTCTGACAGATTTGGATGCTGCGCTGGTGCCGCCGTTAAAAAAACAAAACTACGTTCCACTATAATCGATTATGGCGTACTCTTCTACGATGCAGAATCGTTTGTCTGCATCCCGATGCATCAATTATTTGATTATTTTCCTCAGCTCTAATAAATATCCAGGATACTTATATAATCGATTTAAGTTCATACACCAACCTGTTTGGTCTATTTTTAATCCAAAGATTAATGTTTAATTTAAGGTAATTAAATTTAGTAGCAAAAGTTTGTTTTTGAATCAGAAGTTAGGAATCTTTGCTTTTTCAATAACCGGAAATAATTATACCTTTCTGTGTTTCATATCAAAGAATGAGGCAAGTTTAAAAAAGAAGAATTTATTACTAACAATGTTTAAACTTTACAATTTGAATGACAATCATAAATGACAATTCATGGATGACAATTGTCCTTCATTGGAAGGAGGCCAGAATTAGAGGCAGGCCTCATTTTCAATTTGAGCAAAATAAACTACCAGTAGGATGAATAAAAACATGATTTTGTGTCTATTTGCTCAGATTTTAGGCATTTTTATACCCAGTCAACAAAGTAAATAAAGCCTGGAGCCAAGGGCGGAAATCCCATTTCAATTTTAAACAGTAAAACTTCAGAGAGTAATTTTTTGGGGGGACATGAAAAAAATGCTCTCTACATACAACACTGTATGTCCTCATAAGAGACTGACCTGTGACTCTGTGCCTGTGTCTGACAGGCTCTGGCTGCCTGTGCTCAAGTGACTAGACTTTGCCTAATGAAACCATTTAGAAACAATTTCATAGGCATTTCATTTCTTTCTTATAGATGTCTTTATCAAAATGCAAGTTTCTACTTACTTGACGTTATGGAGCATTAAAAAACGACCTGATGTTTGCCGTTTTTCGTTTCTTCCCATATTTATATGAAAATTCACATCACATTGGTCAAAGTGTAGGGTAGTATATTAAGCTTTAAAAGCACCCAAATACATACAATAATTACTACGCTACAATCCTTACTAAAACCGTACTTAAGCTCAGAAAAAAAAGTACTTATGCCAAGTAGGTTTGTGATCTATCAAACATGGAGTACGCACAGCTGCACACAATCTCCGCTTCATAAATCGGAGACTAATGAGAAAGGTTCTCAGCTGCTTTTTAGTCACATCCCGCCCTCACCACGCCCACTTACTGCCATAAATAGTCAATGCAAAGTGCCTTGTGGATCTCATGCATATACATAAGCCGGCTGTTGCAGCGCTCCGCCAATGACATGGCGACCGTGGATCAAGGCAGATCAAGGAAGCACAATTTCACAGAAGCAGAAATTGAGGTACCTGTGGGTGAGGTGGAGAAATGAAAGGAAGTGCTTTTGCAAAACAAGTAAGAGAAAATCCACGGAGTGGCACAGCGTTGCTGAAGCCGTCAATGTTGTGAATTCTTCAGAGAGATAAGTGGCAGATATAAAAAAAAAGGTCCGATCAGGATTCGATCCCCGGACTCCAGGGTGAGAGTCACGCGTGCTAACCAGTCACCCAAACGGAGAACTCGCTTGGCCAAGTAACCAGGGTGCATGATCTATCGGGTCACAGTTACCGGACACACACACTGTCACAGACGCATGACATACTGTCTCAATCTGCCCCCTGCTGATATTCAGCATTCCGTATTCTGCGCTTCAGGGTGTGTGTATGTGTATGTTTGTGTGTGTGTGTGCATGTGTGGGGGGCTTGTTCTGTGTGTACGAAGCGGTACAAGTGATAATGCTGCTGGAATTCATAATTGTATCCTCAGCAGCAGCACTGCAGGTGCTCTCCACGTCCAAAATGTGCGTAAGCCAGGTCCTTAGTCAGCTTAAAGTTGTGCACATTTTTCTGCTAAGTTTTCTTTTATAAATCCCAACGTTTGCATGGAAAGTTGCTTACACAGTTTTCCGACCCCGTTTTGTGCGTAAGCAAGCTTGATAAATGAGACCCCTGGTCTGTAAACTGACGTCACCCCGTCTTCTTTAGAAGCGCATCTTCAGCCCCGCTCCGGCTGCAGCCGCTGAGATCACAGTTGACAGAAATGGGATCTTTGCTGAAACTTGATCAATTAATCTGCGTATTTCCAGTAGAACACGTTTGCCAAAAGATTTGTGCAATAATCATATTTTGAATTTACTTCCACAAAATTAATTTTAGGTTAGATATTAAAGAAAATAGGGACGGCTTGGCAAAAAATTAAAAGCCCGCTCCTCGTTGATTACAAGTCAGGATGGCTGGCTTGCTGCTGCCATGTGAGTGACTTTCATGTGTGTCGCGAGCGACATGTTGGCGAACCCTAGTCTAATGTAAGCTGAGAGGCCTTCTATAGAGATGTGTGAGCCATTCCGCATCAGGTCCAAACTATTTAATTTAATGATCAAGGTTAAACATTTATATTTGATAAATAACACTTAATAATTACATTTATATTTAAATATATTTCTAGATCAGGTGTAGTGTGATACAATCTTATGTTTATTTTCCGTGGAAAACACACAGTCACTGTATTGATGCTTCGCTCTTAGTCAAACTCTTCCATGTTCCCTCTCGAGTGCAAGCTGGAGCAATGCAAGTTTTGAACATGGTGTCACTTAAAAAAAAAAGCTGAATGCATCCTTAAGCTCCGCTGAATATCTAACCAAGAAGAGCAGTCTTCCTCCCCCTTGATGGCCATTTATCAGGGAGATTCTCTGTGGTGATACAGACGGGACGGCCAAAGTTGGATGCACCGGTGAAGTCATCCCTAATTCATGAGCATCCCGTATCTGTCCCTCCTCCACCCCCCACCCCCATTCATCGTGATACTCCAGGGTCATGAGCACAGGTCGTCAGCCAGAGCCTCGCCATCCTCTTGCTGAGGAAATTGAAATTCGGTGGCTGACGTGCCAGTGGAACAGTGAAGGATAGGGGGCGTAATCTCTGATGACACTGGCTCACAGAGCGCTAATAAATCTAAGAATTCCCCAGTCACTTCTCATCAGGCCAACTGTGGCAGACATTTCTCAGGATGACTGGGACTTGAAGAGCTGTGCTTCAGTTTGTTTGTGAGAAAAGGAAAATGACAGTTGTCTCGAAGGCAGCTTTATTTTGTGTTAAGTCCAGGTAATGTCTTATTATCTGAGCCATTCTGCATAAGTTAGCTCTGCTATTTTCTTTTGCTCTCGTGAGATTATAAGTCAAAGGTACAGTTTTAAACTACTAAAGTTACGTTTTGAACATCTATCTGAGTGTAATAAGATAATCATTAATAATTCTCACATAGTAGTGCTGAATGATCATTTGACAACCACTAACCTCTAAACCAGATAATTTAATAATTAGGTTTAATTAATAATTTGGTTAGCTTCTTTAAAACCCAAGTGGTTTCATTTCTGACAACTCTAACAACTGTCTATGTCTCTAACTGTTTATAATGCTCTCAGATTTGCAATTTTAAACTAAAGGAGACATCTAATGCTATGTTTTCAAATGCTTAGTCAATACCCTGAGGTTGTGATGAAAGGTTGAAGACGTGCATTCTCAAACATGTATTTGCTCTTTCTTTCTCAGATGTGTGAAGTAAGTGATATGACTCTAGGGCTGCAACAAACGATCATTTGGATAATCGATTAATCGGATGGGGTCTCGACACGATTAATCGATTAATCGGATTACATAGGGACATTTTTAAAAACTGCTAGGGAAACGTTATTTTTCTCCTTCCTTCACTTTATTAAACACACCATTATTAGAAAACAGTTCAATAGCAGAAAAACAACATGCCATCACCTAAATTGTCTTATAAGGTGTATAGACAGAGATCCTAAGCTACACCTATCTGTGACCTAAAATGCTTGGTCCAAGTTAAACAGCTTAAAGAGCAAGTCAACCCCTACCAGAGTCTAACTCCACTCCCGCTTCATGTTTGAAAAATGCAACACATGCTGTTGCCTGGCAGACCGAGAGGGCGGAGCTGCTAACAAATACACAAACACTCAGGCTCACGACAACATTGTGACATCATAATGTACCAGTTTACATCATAGCATACTTCTTAGCCAATAGCGGTGGCAGATTTAAATTAAAATACAGTGCAGAGTTTTTACCTGACAACGGCACAACACTGCCAGTTTGAGGCAGAATATTTAAATTTTAACTAAGATGCACTGAAGTGCCAAATTATTGATGACACGTGTCTGCAGCACGATTAGACACTCGTTTATTTAGTTTATCAGCAAAAA